TGCTTCCATGTGCAAAATGGAGGGAAAAAACAACTACCCAAATCTCTTGGAATATTTGCTTCATGAAGTCCAAGGCAAAAGCGCACCCTATGTGTGTTTGCCATACATGCATCAACATTTTTGTTTTCCTCTGTTTTGCCACTAGCGATCTACCTGATTCCCGTAATTTTCTCTATTCCTATATTTTGCAATCTTCGATCCAACCGTCACACCAAGCCCAACATCACCTTTTTCTCCATTTTTAAGGTCATCACTGTGGTTATGCACTTCTGCGTCAACTAAGAGCAAGATTAATAATACAACCTAGCTGCTGGCTATACGAAAACTTATAGCCAACCTATCAGCCCACTCGTATAATAGCTAGCCGGTTTACAGCCCACTTACATGTCTCATAAAATTTCTTATAAGCTGGCTGTAAGCTTACAACTCGTTTCTCTTCTTTCTCTCTCCTCTCTCCTTCACGTTAGCATACAAGTGCATTTACAGTCTCTTATTATACTTGCTCTAATGGTGATGAGATCTAGGCCGCCTCTCTTTTTTGTGATTAAGATCTAGGCCGCCTCGTGAGCAAAGGAAGGTGATGCATAGTAGTGTTGTTTTCAGGGACTGGTTTGTTTTGTTGTTGGAGTTTTACAAAGCAGAGCAATGGATGCGCATCGTCGTGGTCAAGCTATGTTGCCTATTCAGTGAGGTCATACACCTTTAGCCGTGTTCTCGTCGTCGTCGTTTTTCCCGAGCCCGATCGAATCGAACTTCATCGTTCTTTTGGACGGAGCGGCCAGGAGCGCTTGTCATGGCAATGCGCATTGTGTTTGAGCTACTCTCTACTCTAAGATCTCGAGAATGTTTTGGCCCCTCCTAACTACTATCTATCTTCTAATATTCTAATCTAATATTAAGGACCTATCTAGACAATAACAGAATGTTTTAGCCCCTCCTAAGAACTGAATTTTGCTCATACACTTACATAACCTTATAACTATAACTTATGCTTCACTGGTTGGTTTTTACGCTGTCTTTAGTTTGTTTGTTATGATTTACAATGATTTCTTCTGGTGATAAGTTTTGGTTGAAACCAACAAGCAAACATGCTATATATTTACGATGTCTTATTACTATATTTACAATGGTTTCTTCAGTATAATTTATTGGATAGAGTGATATAATTTGGGGATAACATAACTTCTATTTCTATATATGACAAATTTTTTTAGAAAAATTCATAAATTATTTCTATAAATTGCATATATCAAAGAAATATATGTTAAATTGTTCATAAATTTTAGAATAATTTTTTCACAGATTGCGGTGGGTCTCACCCTCCCCAACCTTAGGCCCTCCACGGTGTGTTGTGATGCCTTAAAAAATTGGACCCCACGGTGAAGATTTTGACAACGAGCTTCAAAGGCCACAGCGTGGGAGTGATGTCGCATCATTAGCGCACCCCATCTGATATTAATTAAAAAAAAACAAAGCCAATGCTGGTTCCTTCTCTTCCTTGCCCGTAGCACAGGCTCTTTCTCTCTTCCCTCCATTAAAAAACAAAGATAGCACCGGCGCAACTACTTGCACCCCTCTCCATTTTTCTGGAACTAGCACCGCACGCTGCAGTGTTGGAAGTAGCGCTTAAACCTTCTCTCTCCGAACTTGGCAGCGCTAAGGCATACATTGCAGAAGGCCTTCCGTTCCGTTCCGTTCCCTTCCCTTCCCACCCTTCCGTGAACCGCGCACGTCCGACGGTGCAGCGGCCTTCCCAGCTTCGGCGCCCCTGTTCCTTCCCCGCCCTGGCGCAGCGGCGCCCCTGCCCCTTCCCGGCCTGGTGCCTCTGTGTTGTCCATGCGTCACGAGCTCGCGCCCCACGGCACGTACTACGTCGCGTGATTCCGATGGAGCGGGACGCAGCAGCAGCGCCGTTTGACGATTTGCTCCTGGTCATATGGAGGAGCCATAGATTAAACACACCATAGGGACACCGCAGGTGTTGTCACATGCCGGCAGGAGAGTCGAGGAATGTCATCCTAAAAATCTTGAAAGTCAAAGCATCTCAAGTTTAACTAAATTTATATGATAACATAATCACATTTATAATACCAACTAAATATCATTAGGTTCTTCAACAATTATATTTTCATAGTATATTTACTTGATATCATAAATCTTGGCAGTGGAATCGTACAAGCCACAGAAAAGGTTGGACTTGCCGGCAGTTAAACACCTGTGATCAGTCCAGACGGCTAGCTGCCAACATATGCATGTCTTCAAGACGGTACCCAAGTAGTAGTACCCAAGAGAACGTCGTATGGTTGCGGAAGCGTTGCAGGATCGGTCAAGGATTCGAGACAATCAAAAACATTCAACAATCAAGCGTGCCCTGACTGCTGTCAAAGTGGAACTTGTATAGCCAGTCAGTCATTCAGCTGATCAACTCCTTACACGGAAGACAAGTTCATCTGCCGCTGGATGCGTCCCATCTACTAGCTACCTGGTGCGTGGTGCCAAGTAGCTCTGAAAAAGGAAGGCGCCAATAGATGGATGTTGTTCTTGTTGGGCGTTCGACAGGCAGCAACGTGACACCCTACTTACCTACCTACCTTGTACCTTACAGGACAACCAACAACGGACCGTGCGCCTTTTGACCAGACCAGTGAACACCTCGTTCTCCGTTGCATCTTCAGTCGTCAAGTTTGGTCAAGGAATCTGCATCCTGTTGGTCACCAGGTACTTGTCGCGGCGTCTGTGATCGGGCTTGCAGATTGGTGGTTGCCGTGCCGGAAAAGGATTGTTAAGGAACAGCGTGCGGGCTTTGATTTTGTCTTTTCTGTTCATTGCTTGGAGCTTGTGAAAGGGAAGGAATCGAAGGGTGTTTTAGAGTGTTCAGCAGTCATTTCCGCGGAGCTAAGGTGGTGTTTAAATTCAGAGGCTAAAGTTTAGGGGTGTGTCACGTAAGAGTGTTCGGATAGTAATAATAAAACAAATTACATAAGTCATAAGTAATCCGCGAGACGAATTTATTAAGCCTAATTAATCCGTCATTAGTGCACGTTTACTGTAGCACTACATTATCAAATCATGGACTAATTAGGTTTAAAAAAATCGTCTCGCAAAGTAATCGCAATCTGTGCAATTAGTTATTTTTTTGAGTCTATATTTAATACTTCATGCATGTGTCCAAATATACGATGTAATAGAGACTAAATTTTAGAGAGAGAAACTAAACAAGATAAGTGCGGCAGACTATGAATGAGGCAATCTCTTCCTGTTGTGTCATGAACTTAGCGTCATAACGTAACGGGAGTTATACATATGGTGCAAAATTGGCGTATGAAAGTTAGTAATCTTCATAAGTGAGCCTGACAACTTTTGGTGTCCTATTAATATTTCAAAACTCCGTAGTAGACCTATTCTGGATTAAACTAATGTTTTACCAAGTATATCCTGATTGTTTTAAATGGGTCTAGACTAGTACAGAGTTTAAGCATTCATGAGGTTTTTGACAAATGAAGTACTATAAGGAATGTCTTTCTGATTCTAATTTATTCCTATCATATTATTAGGATAAATCAACTTACTGCATTATGCAAATAGAATAGGCACAACCGTACACTTATTCGTGATATATTACTTCAGAATATACTCAATATGCCCTTTTTTAATATAATCCTAATACTTGTTTGGTGCTATCTTGGTGTATATTAATACCTAGAACATTATAGATTGACAAACATCTTTCATATTTCAATTGGGTAACAACTTCCACTCATAAAAAGTACTATGACAATAAACTTTTCTACGATCTTGTTTTCTCCATTTAATAAGATTCTAAACCAAAGCAGTAAGCTATAAGTTTAGCTTTAAACATTTAAGACTCCTTTGCAGTCACATCTAGAATCGTAGACCCTTTATTATAGCCTATAGTTTTGACTTCATTAAAAATTGTACTAACACCCATACTTTGTGCTAATAGATTTACTAAGTTTAGAATAACAAACATCCTCTCCTGGTGTGATCATCTTACACAGGTTTATTAGAAGTCACAATTGGTTGAGTAATTGATGCCCTTCCTAGTGTGCATAATCACTAACTAATTGTTATTGCACTACCACAGACCCAAATATCCTTGAGGGCCGAAAACCCTCAAGGAAAGCCCTAAAACCGCCAAGGAAATCAATACTAGTGGCTAGCACTCAAGGAATGGCCGCCAAGGGTAGAGAGATAGGGAAATAGCTATCTCTCCTTGAGTGCCGGCTGCGACAAATCATTTCCTTGAGGGTTCAACCGCCAAGGAAATACTTAAGCGGTCATATTTTTAACACCGCCAAGGAAAAGTAACAACATTCAAGGATATGCGTTTTCTTGAGGGTTGACGACCCCCAAGGAATATAGCTGGCCCCCAAGGATATATATTTTCTTGAGGGTTTGTTACCGCCAAGGTATTTGTTGGGCCCCCAAGGATATGTATTTTCTTGAGAGTTAGCACCGTCAAGGTAATACAAATGAACCGTCAAAACAATAGCTTTATCTGAGGGCTCACACCCTCAAGGAAATAGCAATTTCCTTGAGGGTTTCGACCCCCAAGGAATAATGTGTTTCCTTGGCAGCTAACCCTCAAGGAAATGCATGGCACAGGGGCTTAATTGGCCAAGAAAATATTGATCATTCATTATAAATGTAGACCAAAACAAATATCAAGATAGAGGCCACAATTAAACTAAACCAGTACTAGATTAGATAACACATCCAATATCCATTGGTTCATTACATGTCCATTTTGCAAATATAAGACTTAGGTAGATAGCAATGGTGTATCATCCTACATGTCAGCAGGATAGCAGCACATACACAAGGCAAATACTGCACACAGTTCATAAGGCAATATTGCACTTAGCAAAAGATCAGCCTAATATCATCTTATTTCCTACCAATCAATAAACCCAAAAGAAAGTCCACATCCCATTGTGCAGTCACTTGGAGTTGTTGGAATTAGTTTGCTGCATGCATAGTCACTGCTCAGTAGAGCGGTGATCATCATCGCTTTGGGAGGAGCTGCTATCATAACCATCTTCAAGACAGCCATCGTCATCATCATCCTCAATGTGGTCATCATCATCGTCTTCATTGGAGTACTGGACATGGTCGTTGCCTTGATGGTAGCTGCAGTCATCATCATCGCTTTCATGGTAGCTGTAGTCATCATCGTCGTCTTCGTCATCAGCGTTGTCGTTGCTGCGCCTTTCATCAACAGAATGAGAGCCTCCATGTGACCCAGTAGCCTGCAAAAGACAATATTGAAATATTTTTGTACAATTCTGGAACATAAAAGTTTGGTCTTCAATCTCTAAGAGCCTACTATAAAGTATCAAATAACTGAGGGCTGTTTTGTTGTATTATTAAAACAACCTAGTAGATGAGAATCCTAAAAAATAGGCATCTGTCAATCAAAGCTTTTCTTCACTACCTTACCATGAACATAAAACCTAAAAATGGCATTGTTAATCAACAAGAATCCACTTGTTCACTGCTGCAACTCGTATTGGCATTCTGCCACGAAACAATATTAATTCTCTAGATGAATTGTGATCGAAATAAAGAATATGAATTGCACAAACAAATTCAATAAATAATGTAACCTGATGACGACGGGTATCAAGGTCTTGTAGACATTGAAGCAGTTCAGCAGGTGGTTCTACACCTATCCGATCAAACACACTCTGCAATTGAAAGTATCCAAATGAAATTGTATGCTTAGGACACAGTAATTGCAGATACAATGGAAAAATTATTACCTTGAATAGCTCGCGATGGATTCTATTTTTCCTCAGCGAGTATGTCATTATTCGTTTTCAATTGTGCATTTTCTTGTAGCACACTTTCATAATGATTAGGATCAGGTGGCCTAACAGATACAGATTTGGAATGTGCTAGAACAATTGCCTTATCCACATCACCATCACCTATTGGAACGCGGCCATGCTTCATGCCACGTCCTATAGTGTACAATGCTCTTCCGTCCAGTTCTTGTGAATTTGCATCTGGAGCTAATGCCATGTACTCATCCTAACATAGAAACATGAAAATGTATCAAAGGATGCCTCAATTCAGTTTACAGAACAAATGAAAGCATGTTGTGCAGAGCATACCGATCTTTTTTGTGCTTTCTAGCTAGGGATTGGAGCACTCCTTCCAGTGCTATCCACTTTTTTAACTCCAGATTTCATTGCAGCAAATGTGTTTATCCCACTCTGTGGACGACCAGATTTAAATTCCTATAAGATTAAAACCACAAATTATGCACGCATCAGTTATAAGTAGCAAGCAGACATTGTAAGCTGCAGATTATAAGCTGCGCAAGAATTATAAGCTACATATTTCAACGGTTCCTAACTAAAATAGTCAAAACACAAGCATTTGTCACAACTAAAATAAGCTAGCTGCAGAATTATAAGCTGCACAAGAATTATAAGCAGCATATTTTTTTCAACGGTTCCTAACTAAAATAAGTAAGATACAAGCATTTGTCATACCAAGAACTGTTGTGTCTCTGCAAAATTTCTTGAACCTCCTCTATTTTGAGCTGGATCATCACAACTCATGCGCGATTGTTGGCCTCTGCGTCTCTTTTCCTTGTACTCATCAGAAGTCCAGTATTTGGCAAGCAAGACCCAAACTGCCCTGTTGCACCACTCCACCCGACAAGTCAAGTACTGTTCTTCTTTTAGTTCAATGGTGCAGGCTCGAGTATCATTGCAGTCTTCGTTATTTCTATGACACCATTTCTTGACAGCCTCCAAACGGACTTGGTACATCATATTAGTTACTCTCTTGACTAGATAGTTCTCTAGATTTTTTGCAGCACGTGCCCTATGCCGTGGATGAGATGTAAACGTGCTCTGCATATGCAAGACAAGTCAAATAAATTACTGACTGCAAATTCTTTAATCTTGCCGAGTGAATATTCAATCCTTTTAGAATTATGCAATCAGGATGCAATGCACTGGACTGAAGAAATAAGAAATGGAGAAAAAAGATTTAAAGAATAATCTGAATAAGTTAGTGTATTACCCAGAACTCCTGCTTCACTCTTGTCGCACAGCAGATTCCTTCTTTATTCTTTTTCCAATAATAATCATTCCATGAAAATGCCGGTTTTACTCTCACAATTGTGCCTTTCTCATCATATATTCTGAGGATACCTGGGTACTCTCGCTTGAGAATAGTTCCTAACTGTGAGGGGTACTTGAAGCATTTAGGGTTATAATCAACATATTTGAATTGACTGTTGTAAACAAGTCAACAATTCAATTATTCAGCTTCATATACAAAAAATATGTAGCAGAATGAAAAGAACTACAATGTTAATCACAATTGATATCATATACTTACCAATACCTATAGGTTCCACCTGAACTCTACCACTACGTGGAGGTATTTTGTACTTGGTCCTACACATTTTCGCTCTCCCTCTTTTTAGAGGATCCTGAGAGGACTGGTTGGAACCAATATTTAGTTGTGAGTTATCAAAGTTCACTTGTGAGTTACCACCTTCAACTCCAGCCATTTGAGAGTTAAGACCATTAGCATTGCTCCTTTGTGAGTTACTAGAAACATCTACAACCATTTGAGAGTTAAGACCATTAGCATTGCTCCTTTGTGAGTTACCAACCATTTGAGAGTTAAGACCATTAGCATGCTCCTTTGTGAGTTACCAGAAACATCTCCAACCATTTGAGAGTTAAGACCATTAGAACTGATCCTTTGTGAGTTACCAAAATCATCTCCAACTGTTTGAGTGTTAAGACCATTCAAACTGGTCCTTTCTAAGTTAGCACCCTCAGTCCCAACCACTTTGGAACTGACACCAGCAGCACTGCTCCTTGTAGAGTTACCACCATCAGGACTACATGCTAATTGGCCACCAGCAGCACTGCTCCTTATGAGGTTACTAGACTTCTCACCCTATCCATTGCTTGCAAACTGACCACAAGCAGCATTGCTCCTTTTGGTGTTACTACCTTGAGCTCTAGTCCTTCTAGTGTTAATTCTAAACTGCTCACCATTACCGGTACTTGCAAAGTGACCACCAGTAGCACTGCTCTTTTCGGGGTTACTAGCTGCCGTGATGATGAACAGTGAAGTCCGTGCGTCCGATCACTGCCTCACTCAGCGTTCGGTCACTGCTGCTGACGCTTGCTGTTGCCGAGCAACTAATCGGATGCGTCCGGTCCTCATAGGGCCGCGTCCGGTCACCTCTGTGGAGCTCGTTTCTTCATGATCTTGTGTCTGGCTTCATTCCTATCTTCGTGCTTGGACTTTGCTTGATATCTTGGATCCTCTCTTGTGCTTCTAGGGTCTTGCTTAAGGTGTTGATCATCGGATCATCATGTCGCCTTCGTCCAAGTCACGTTTGCACCCTATTGAACTACAAAACAATTACTTGCAAATTCATTAGTCCAATTTGGTTGTGTTGGTCATCAAACACCAAAATCCAAAGTAAATGGGCCTAGGGTCCATTTTCCTTACAATCTCCCCCTTTTTGGTGATTGATGACAACACGACCAAAGCAAGCAAATAATAAAAATTTTGGAATTTAAAAACTATTTACTTGCTAGGATGCAATGCAAAGGACAAGGTTATATGATGCTAAAAGATACCACATGTAAACATCTTTGGAAACTTATCTTGCCCTTGCAAATGTCCCCATGTGGCATTATGGATTTAAGCCTCCCCCTAACTCCATAATCCACTATCATCCCTTTCTTGGACCATTACCACTTGTAAATTATTATGATAGGGCTTGCTTTTGGTCCTACAAATTCTCCCCCTTTGGAATCAAACACCAAAAAGGAAGATATTAGTATCACAAGGGAGGGTCAAACTTTGTGATCCTTTGTATGTAGAGTGGAATAGGTCACCAAATTTGACTCTCAGATTACATAGAATAAGCTCCCCCTAAATATATGCATACATATGATGAAGAATGTAGTTTATGCATAATTGGCGAATTAATGCTCAAGGGAGTTTAATCTATATAATGCATGGAGAAAGCATATAAATACCAAAGTGAAATCAACATGATGATATCGGTTTAGAAATACCACATGTAGAAACCAATTTGATTTATACCACTTGCAATAGGTGGTGGATATTTGAAGTATGATGCTTAACTCCGGGGACTCCATTTTCCTTGCAATGAGACTACTACACACATGATAAGCTTAAAAAGGTGTTAGTCTCAAAGCATCCAACTTGTAGAATAACCTCCCCCTAAATTTCTGCACACAAGTATGGAATACTTGTAGGAGACATGCACATTGATTTTAGAATAAAAAATACCACTTGAAAGATGACATCACATTCGAAAGTGATATTCGGGAGAAATTATCTACAATTTGGACTTTGGCACATATTAGATGAACAATTGTAAAACAAGCTATGTGCCATGCTCCTAAACAATTTAAACCATGTAGGTTTGCTCCAAGGGTTAAGAGTGAAACCGAGCAAGCCTACCATAAGATATACCTAGTGTATGCAAGACAAAAGATTAAACATGCAAATGCAAACCTAGGCATAAAAAGGAACAAGATGCTAATTGAAATTGCAAGAAATTAGATCTAGTTACATAACATGGGAAGGGGAATTTGGGTCCATAGTATTCACTAACCCACTTGACAATTACCTTATCCATAATGATGCACCCCATGAAATGCACCCATACTTTGCCAAGTCTCCAAATTCTCCGAAGTCCATCGGACTTCTCACTTCCCTTTTGGGATCCAAACCTTCTTGGTGCTCTTCATGTTGGAAATGATCTCCTTTGGCACTCAAATACGTTTGGCCCCATTGTTGGCTTGTTTGTTCACCTTGATGGCCACCACCTTGTTATTTTCTTCTTCTTCAAGAGATAAGGTGTGGAAGCCTTTTTGTCCACCTTGTTGGTGTAGGTGTTGGAGAGCTTACTTGTTTCCTTTTTGTTTTTCTCTTTCTTCTTAGCTCCTCCCCCATTCTTCACCTTGCACTCATAGGATTTGTGGCCTTCCTTGTGGCACATGTAGCAAACCACAGTTTGTCCTTCATCAAGCTTCTTCACTCCCTTAACGGTGTTATCTTGATGATGTTGGGCTTGCTCCGTTTTACCTTCTACTTGAGTCAAGTCCTTGGTAAGGCGAGCCACTTCTTGCTTGAGTTGCTCATTCTCCATTGCGACCTCTTGTGTGCATGTATCTACAACAACTTTCTCAACACAAACTTGGTTGCACAAGGGTGAGTCTAAACATAAATCATTGCAAGAAGTAGAAGCATCCTTTTTAGGCATGTCAAAGATAGAACTTTTCTTTTTAGGTGCCTTGGTGAGGGTTGTACCGATGGCTTCAAGATTAGCAACTTTATTAGTTAGCTCATCACAATGTTTGCACATGCTTTCCATTTTAGCAAGCAAACTTTTATAAGCATCTTGTGAGCTAGCTAACTTTTCTTTTAATTTTTCATTTTTCTTTACAAGTTGCTCATCATTGATTGTGCATGCATTTGTTGTTGCACTAGACTCAAGTTGCTCAATTTTAGTAGATAGTTCAATATTGAGATTAGCAAATGTCTCATATTGTTCAAGCAAGGTTTTATAAGCTTCTTGTGAACTATCTAGCTTTTCTTGCAACATTTTTAGCTTCTTTTGTTGGCTAGTGCAAGCCTTAGCATATTTAAGATTTTCTTGCACAAGTTCATTAAGAGAAGGTATTTCATCATCACTATCACTCTCACTAGAGGATGAGCTTTTGTTACCTCGTGCCATAAGGCACACATGAGAAGAGCTTGATGATGAGTGCTTGTGGCCTCGCCTCTTGTGATGGTCTTCTTCTTCACTTGAAGAATCATCCCATGACCTTATTGATGTGAGGGCTTTGTCCTTGCATGCCTTGTTCTTTGTCTTGGGTGTGGGCTTGTTTGGACAAACTTCCACAAAGTGCCCCAACTCACCGCATCCATAGCATCCTTTCTTTCTTTGCTCATTTCTTTGATTGGTGAAGATAAAATATTGAATTTGGATGGGCACACCCTTGACATTGAGCCTTTGGATCATCTTCTCCACCTTGTCGATAAGTTTGATTGATTCTTCATCAAGGTCGGAGGAAGATTGATCATCATCACTTGGATTTTCATCATCATCATCATCATCATCTTCTTCATCTTCACTCGAGGAGCTTGACCTTGAGCTTGTCTCAACTTGCTTGCCCTTCATCTTCTTTTTCTCACTACATGCGAGAGCTTTGCCTTTGCTTGATGATGAGGCTTTTTCTTAACCCATCTTCCGTGACATTTCAAATGCTAATATCTTTGTCAATGACTATGTCCGGAGTCATGGTGCTCAAGTCCTCCATATTGTGAAGGATGGTGATGATGCTTGCATATTTCTTTTGTGGTAGCATGGAGATGATCTTCCTCATGATGTCCGCATCTTCTAGCTTCGTTAATCCTATTGAATGGAGCATATTGATAATTAGATTCAAACAAGAATACATATCACGAACAAGCTCATCATCATTCATTTTAAAGGAATCATAATTTTGTTTAGCTAGACAATGTTTTTGCTTACAGACATTAGTTATGCCGTCATTGAGCTCTTGGAGTTTTAACCAAATTTCATGTGCCGTATTTAAAGTGAACACTTGGTTAAACACATCCATGCTAAAAGATTCAAACAAGCAATTTTTAGCTCTAGCATTGAAATGAATTTCTTTTTCTTCACTCTTTGTGGGTTTATCAGGATTCTTAATGGGTTTCATCCCGTCACAAGTGACTCTCCAAACACCCAAATCTACCGCCTCAAGGTGACAAGCCATTCTAGCTTTATAGTAGGGAAGTTAGTGCCATCAAAGTGCGGAGGCTTAGAGGTATCCATCCCAACCACTCTAAATAGCGTCGGCTCAACAACGGTGAAGCCAAAGGTCCAAATTGAGCCAACCGGCTCTGATACCACTTGTAAGGGACCATGATGCCTAAGAGGGGGTGAATTAGGCAACTTAAAACTCTTACTCTAAACTAAGGCCTCTAATTTCACCTAGTCAAAACCTATGCAGGAAAGTAATCTATCTAAATGTGCGACTACGGTTTTGCTTGGTGTGTTGCTATCTCTACCACAAAAGAGTGATGCAACCTAGGTTCAAATCCTCTCAAGTAGCTTATCAACCAAGCTAGGGAAGTAAAGCACACAACCAAGGTATCAATGTAAATGTGGAAGGTAAAGTTGAGGTAGACATGCAAACTCCCGTCGACGACTCTGGTATTTTTACTGAGGTATCGAGAAGCGCTCAAGCTTCCCCCTAGTCCTTGTTGGAGCCCCTCATAAGAAATCCCTCACAAGGGCCAAGCTCTCGGTCGGGTAACTCCGTGGATAGCCCCGGGCCTTCCCCACATGCAAGTGGGTCTCCGGTGTGCCTTCCGGCAAACCTCTCCCGGACCGCTCCCTGCCGTCTTCACTATGAAGCTTCTGGCCGAACCGCCATGGGCCTTGTTCCCTTCGGTACACGGTGGCGGCCACACCACAAACGTGGTTGGTGTTATCTCGCAAGACTACAAGCTCCTCTAATGTACAACAATGGTGCGTGCAAGCACCGAGTGATAAGAGGTGTGCAAACCTCACTAAACACTAGGCCTAAACCTAGAGCAAGCGCATAAGCTGTGGTCTAATCAACCTAAGTACTTCGCAAAGCACCTACGCTAATCACCTAATGAATCACTAAGCACTATGCAAGTGGAGATCACTAAAATAGTGTATCAACACCCTTGATATGTTTCTCAGCTCTCCACTCCTCAAATAGCCGATTGGGGGTCTATTTATAAGCCACATAGAGAAAGTAGCCGTTAGGGGCAAACCCAGCTTTCTGCTACTGACCGGACGCGTTCGGTCGTCCTGACCGTTGAGCGAGCACGTAGAGATCGGACACACTACCGAGTCCGGTCATCATCGACCGGACGCGTCCGGTCGCATTTGCGCCGCTCTGGAACCTCTCTGGATATGATCGGACGCTTCACTTTGTGCGTCCGGTCATCTAGTGCCGCTGCA